TATATTAAATGGCAAAGAAAACGGAAAGAAAACAACAAATGATAAATACAAGATAGACAACGATAATTCGAATAAACTCAAACGACACAATTCTTTTATACAACACAAATGATTCAACACACTCATTCAACGCTCGTTTACGACTCTGTTTCCTCACTCGCACGCAAGTTTCTTCTTTTCAAAAAAGAAAAGCTGAACGCTGTGCTTCTCACATCGCATTCATACTTTCTCGTTCACGCATCTCCAGCAAATTAAAAGTAACTAAAAATATATAACTACACATTATAATAATTTCGATACTACACTAATTAGGGGCACGTGACGGAGGGAGAAATGAACGTTGGTAGCGGTAAACGAGCGTCGTAATAAGACGTGATGTATCGAGCCATGTGTCTTCCAGCGCGTCAAACGGAAATTCGCGCGAATCAGTTTCGCAGTCAATTAGTCTTCCGGTGATAAGTAAACGTTGCCAGCGTCGGTAGAGCGCACCGTGGATGATTTGTTGCTTCTGTTTGTCGTCGCGTCATCGAGAATCGACACGCTCGAGATCGATGGATGTTGGGAAGATTGAATTGCAGGTTTCATCGAAATATTAGTAGTAATCATTGAAGTGATTCTGTAATTCCTTTCTGGTAAGAATTGCGAATTTTATAATTCGAGAATTCTTGGGAAAACGCAGCCGTTGTGATTTCTTCGTTTGTAAATCTCTTTAAAGTAACTGAGCTTTTCAACAATCAAATCCTTTTACATACTACTTGCGGTAATATTTTATGATAATATTATATGAATAGTTATGACAATAATAATAATCCTTTTTCATAATCTCGTAAGAATATAATGAAATTTAGTAAGTCTATTGTGAATAATTCTTAAATTTAGATAATATTTCTCTCCCGCGTGAAAAACGCACGATAATTTTCCGCGCGTGCGCTGTTCCCCACGGATACTCAATCCCATCGTGGCGTCCGGCTTCATACATCTCGCCAATTTGTTCGAATTACAAAAAGCACGAAATCGGACGTTCAACGGAGCGATACCGCGTGATTAATTCGTTCGCCATTAGCATACAAATGAATGGAATTACGAAACGGTCGGATGGAAAAACGGTGGATCTCGCGGAACGATCGATAAGAGGAAGACAAAAAGAAAGAAACAATCCGCTGTCGGATCGAGAGATAAATCGATCTCGATAAGGAAATGGCGTCTTCATATAGCAGACGTTCAAACGGAATATCCTGTCAAGATTTTTATCTTGTTTAATTGTCGGCGGGCATTAAAAAAAGTGCGTTTGAAACGCGTTCAACCGATTTATTCGGCCACGTACGGAATTATCGATCCGACTGGGTGACAGCCCAACCACGGGGAATTAATTTCTTAGCCGCCCCCGTTCTCGCGTGCGCATAATAAAACCCGTGCGCCTCGTTAATTATCGATATTCCGAGGGAACCGAAAGTCACAGGGCATTCATTATCGTGTCGAAATCCAGCTGGTAAAACAACCGTACAATCGTAATCCGTTTTCGTTCTCACTTTTTTTTTCTTAAAGTTAAGTGTAAGTCCAGAGCTGTTTCAGTAATTTGCTTTGTTGCAAATTTTTGCTGAATTAGTTCAGTCATTTCAAGTTCAGGTGTGACTGCTTCTTGAAGGACTTACTTAAGTAATAGTAATTTCTAACAACAAAACTTTATCATTATCACTATCATTATCATTATTATCATTACTATCATTGTTATCATAATTATAATAATTATCATTGTCATTGTCATCATTATCATTATTATTGTTATTATCATTATTGTTGTTGTTGTTGTTGTTAGATTATTGATTTTTGTACAAGTTTGTATTTTTATGAAAATAATTAAAAGAATACGACAAGATCAATTAATAATGCCACATTAATGTAGAATTATTCAGATATGAGGAATTTTTGACGAACGTTTGTAAATTATAGAGTATTTAATTCATTATTAATAGCATGATGAAACGTGAAATGTATCATTTACCTACGTTGATAGCTCGACAGCTTTAATTATCTACGAGGAGATCTCTGCTCATCAAAGTGGAAATTCGATCAACTAATATTAATGCTCGTACAGTGTTATTGAGTTATAAATGAATGTAGTATTTTATATCGTGGATAAATAAAATTTATGATACTATTTCGTATTCTCTGTGATAGAGATTAATAGTAAAATTGAATTAAATTAAAAATTCTAAAATTAAATAATTTAATCTTGAAACGTTATACTGTTTTCCGATAATGATACTAATATTTGTACTAAACATATTCTATTATATTTATGACAGTATGTATTCTGAGACGTATATTATATTCATCTACACATAACTAATTTTTATGAAAATTTATATTTCTATGCATACGTACTTCAAAGAAATAGAATACAAATTATTTAAAAGAACACGCAATAGTTTGAAAATACTTGTTAATTAAATAGAAAATAAAATTACAAGCAGATAATATAAATAAATAATCAGTACCTATGAAATGTTCGAAGTTCTTGTTTTCCTCGAGGTATTAATACATGCAAATTTTCGTCATTGATTGTTCGTTTCTTCGTATTAATAAACACATATATCTCTATAAATTCATGCGTCTTCAAATTTTTGCATAAATACAAAAGAATCCACCATTTACTAACAACATACAAGAAGAACGTTTGATCATCCTATGCAAAATTAAATGTTTAAAACAAAAATTTGTAGACTTTCAAGCTTAGACCACTCGAATAACCCTACTCTGCTATATTCTATTTCAAGTACTTCAACGTGAAATATTTCGTCGAAATTTTTCAAGTCGAGCGGCACGAAGATTAATAGAAACCGTGTGCGCGGACTGACATACACGAGTCGCGTTCTAATTTTATTCCCATTCTCTTATGTTAGTCGCGTTCCAACGTCCATCGTAGACACAGTAGTTGCGTCGAGCAACGTCAGTTTCCTCTTCGA